ATTGGCTACCCCATTTTGCCCCCATGAGGCCAAAAAGAGAAAAAAAAGGAAAAAGATGCACTTGGATTATGTCTTGGAACTCAGCCCATAAATTCATTAATTAAAATAATTAATGTTAAAGTTTAAATGATCATGAATATGTTATAAATTATGAATGAAATATATAAATTCGAAGTTTGTGTATTGTAAATTGTGGGAAACATAACATTTCACTCCTTGTTGATTTCATTAAATAATTAATGTTGACATTTTATTAAATAACAATGAAAAATGATAATGTTGACCCTAACATCCATTTGAATAAATTTCATCAGAAGAAAATAAAAATGAAAATAGCATTTTTGTCCACTAGTAAGGCATGAAAAACTACTCTATTGGGCTCTATTTGGTCAATTTTGTTTTTTGTACAAAGAGGTATTAGGGATAATTTTGGAATAAACAATCATTGGGCCCATGTCCGTGAACATTGTCCACTCAGTTTAGGTGATCACGTTACTATTTTCAGATGGAAAATAAACAGTTCTTAGTGAAATGTTGATTAAGTAAATAGATTTTGAATCATAGGAGATGTTTTAATAAAATGAAAACCATAGGGTAGGTTTAAGTAAATACCCAAAAAAAGAATGGCTCAAACCATATTAACTTAAAGCTCCCAAATTGTCTTAGATGCCAAATAGAATGACAAATCTCATAACTAGAAAAAATAAATTTTTATTGAAATCCCAAAGCATTTAGGCTGTGTTTAATTGAAAAGGCTGGTATCACCCGATTAGTAACTTTAAATTCAATTGAGTTTCTGATCAGTTCAAGTTTTTCCAGGTACCATACGTTTTTGGTAATATAAAAATTCCAGATACCTTACCATCAAATCTGGTATCTCCTCTTCATCGTCTAAGAAATGAGACATCTCTCTCACTATGTACTAATGTGATCTATCTCAGTAAGAAGAACCGCTTTGCAACGAAGTTCTCTCAACTTATTTTGCTTTCATCTGAAGCAACTTGAAAGATTTCGAGGCTATCCCCTACTGCGACAAGGGGATCAGATCTTATTTCTCTCTTGCTAGGAGTTATAATAGATATAGTAAGTTTTTCCTTCTTTTTCTCTGAACATTTTCAAACTTCAAAAGGGTATTTTTCTTTTCTTATTAAAGCTGTGTTTGGCTGCAGAGCAAATTTATTTGCACTAATACAAATGCATGGGAGTACAAATGTAAAAATACACATTTTTGTTTAATTTTGTTTAGGATTTTACTTTATTCTACTTCATGTCTTAGTTTACTTCATTTATTCTGCAATCAAACAAAATAACTAAAATTTGAAACAAAAATATGTCAAATTTACATTCAAATCACTTGCACTGCCATGGTTTTACATTAGTGCAAATTTATTTGCATTGTAATCAAACACAGCCTAATATTTTCCTTTTTCGTTTACTTTTGTCTCTGTAAAAGTCTTTCTGAAGTTAAAATCCTCTTGTTGGGTCACTGTAAAGCAGATAGAAGAGTGAAGGATTTGGGTATTATTTCTACATCTTCTTTCCTTTCTTGCCGCCTTCTTTCCTTATTTCTATATCTTCTTTATGTAAAGTGTTTTGTTTTTGATAAGTAAAAAGACAATACCATTAACAAATCGACAGAAGAAACAGAATCTATTCTAAATGTATAAAGTAAGGTTGTCCATATCACTATGTCTCTCTTTGCTCCAAACCCCTTCTTAATTTCCATTTTTTTGAAATTTTCATTTTTAATTCCATGTAATTACTCATTAAAACCAATAAGAAAACAACATAGGCAAAATCTATATATATACTAAAGTATAAACATGCCAGGTCATGGCTAGAGCTTTATCCCTTACCCCAACCGAGAACTCTCAACCCCTCTTCACTTTAATCTTCCTTACTCCCTCATGAAGCCACCTCATCACTCCCTTCTCCCTCTCTCATTTTGACATCTCAGCATGCCTGGCCCATCCCTCTTTCCTCTATGTTTATCCCTTTGGACATCCCATCCTAAAATTATTCTTAAAATCTCTCTCTATCAAAATCTAATATAATCTATAATTACCAAAATCAAATCTATTCCTAAAAGTGTGTTGCTTTGTCTACTACTGAGGCTGAGTATATTGCTATTACTGAGGATTGTAAAGAAGTCTTGTGGATGAAGATGTTCCTACAAGAGTTGGGCCATAAGCAAGAAAAATTTTCTCTATACTGTGACAACTAGAGTGCAATCCACTTCAGTAAGAACTCTACTTTCCACTCACGTTCTAAGCATATAGATGTGAGGTATCATTGGATTCGAGATGTATTGTGCTACAACTTGAGAAAGATCATATTGATGATAATGGCTCAGATATGATGACTAAGACTTTGTCAAAGGAAAAGCTTGTTGTTTGCAAGATGGCCGCTAGCATGGGGCTGCCACCCTCCACGTGAGAAGTGAGGGGGGAGATTGTTGGTTGGGCTCCCTTCCCACATGGAGGGCCCACTATAAAAATAAAAAAAAGGTAAAAGTCGAAGAGGCTCATAAATGTCTTCGCATTAGCAAAGACCGTTATGAGCAAATAAAAACTTGCTCGGCAAGTTGAGGGGAGTGGAAACGGTTGGGTGAAGTCTTCCACCGAAAACAGAACAAAGTACGGAGAGAAAAAAATAGAGAGAGAGAGAGAGAGGGGAAAGGAGAAGAGAGTTTTTGTGGGCTTTCATGGCTAAGAACATTGAACTTGCGTGGCATCCCTTTCTGCGATCACCTTGAGATTTTAGTATGCAGTTGATGGCATCTCGAGCTGCACATCTAATGGTTTGATTTGCTATTCCTCTTCTCTATTATCATTTTGGAGAGATTTATTTTTGTCTTTGAGTTATTTGGTGATATGTGATGGAATCCACCTTTGGGTGAATAGTTGATGCTGATAGCCTCTAGATTTAATGCTAGAGAAGAACTTTGCTGTATCCCATTAATTTATTAGTGGAAGTTTTTGAGTGGTTAGTTGCCCGTGGTTTTTCCCTTCGTTTTGGAGGGTTTTTCACGTTAAAATCTTGTGTCTTTATTTATGGATTGTGTTCTTGTTATTGCATATATTTTCTATTTGGTTGATATTGTTTGGTTTGCATGCTTATTTAATTGCACAAAGAGGGAAAGAGAATTATTTTGCTTCACTTCAGATATATTTTGTTATTTTGCTATTGTGAGATAGCAGGCCTTTTCCCAACAATTGGTAATAAGGACCCTACAAAATCTTCTACAACTGTTTTTTATTTTTTTATTTCTATAAAAGTTATTATTATTTTTCATACTTATTTTTTCTTAATATAATAAATATATGATATTAGAAATATGACCAATTGTTTTTTACATTTTTTTTTTGTATTTTGTATACTTTTGTGTGTTTTATTTTTTCAAATTATTATTATTATTATTATTATTTACTTAACACATGAAGGATTGATACATTTGACCGAAAAGGTTGACTTATTGATTCACCACTAAATAGGAAGACAATCATTTTTTTCAACTATTTTTGTTACATATATACATGCCATTTTATAAAAGGGATAAATAATATAAAAAATTACAAAAATGCAATAGAAACATACTTATAAATAAATATATAACTAATATATATATATACATATATATATATATATATATATATTATTTAGGGGTGATACAAATTCAATAAATCCCAATGGGAATTCATACTTTAAATATAAGACTTAATTAGAGGAATTTGAATGAGGAGAAAAATGGTTATTCAAATTACATTTCTATCCCCTTGAAAAATCAATCACTTGACCKGTAAAAGCTTTTGAAGGTAATACAGCCCATGGAGTCGCCATTATAAATCTATGAGATAGAAATTCCCCCAAAAGGAAGAATTTTTTGTGCAAGTGAATTAGTTAACAAATTCACATCAGTCCCCCGTAGAAAGCACTCCAAAAATGTCTCACAGCACAATATCTCCCGATGACAAGTACTGAAGATATTCTCAATGCATGCTGAAATGTTAATGTGAGGCATTTTTTGGGCATGTTCTGCGGACAGATGTGAACTCTCAGTTAATGAGTTGCGACCTAATTTTCAAGGAAATTGGAAACACAATTTTTTAATTGTTTGCCAAAAAATGGTTTTAAAATAGTAATTCTGAACTATGATTTAATTACCAAAGGGGTAATTAAGTCCGGTTCAGCGTATGAAGTTGTAAAGAGTTAACTAGGATAAACCCGGACATCTGTTAAAAACAATTCTCCTAAACTACCTATATTACATTCTTTATATGATTTGATATGAAAATCATACTAGTTGTAGTTGAGGCTAGGTCTGGTTTCGGTGCAAATTTTGATTAGGTGCATAATTTGTATCCATTCAGTTTTGCTTTTACTTGTTTGTAATTATGATTTGTATCTTTACCTAATATAAATTTTGTATTTTTCTCTTTTGGCTTAGTGTGGAAGGAGCACAAATACAAAAATTTGTAGAGTGCAAATACATACAAAATACAAGGTTTTATATTCTACAAATTTGCATTTGTACTCCTTTCAAACTGAGCCTTTGCATTTACGGGCAATGCAAATCTTACATTCCAAAAACTGATGCAAAATTTTGCACCACCTTCCACCTATCTCAATTCTTTCTCATATTACACATTTACATTATTCCTAAACAGATGACCTTCCTCCTATACCCATACCCATACCCATAGATGTAATGTGGACCGTGCCGGGCCAGCAACACCTTTATAAATTGGGGAAAATATAACGTATGAAATTTTTAGAAAAAAAGAACATGGAGAAAATTAAATGATTTTGGCTATAAAAGTAAAACATACCGACTTCAAATCACAAGAAAAAGGCATATTCATGATATCATCATCACATGAAACATGGTTCAAGAGATGGGGTTAGGTTAAAATCTTATTTACCAAATTTAAAAATAAAAGCATATAATATATATATATATATATATATATATATATATATATATATTGCATATGTGAGAATTAGACATGAGTATCTATTTTATATAGAATAAAGCACCCTTTATCCTCTTTTTATCCCCACCACTCACATAACCTAACTAAAAAAACACAAGTAGTTTTAGGTTCTCCAGGGTAATACGTATGATATAACAAGTAGTTGTACATCACATAATTGCACATAAACGATGAGGTCTAGGAGGAGGCCGACGAAGCCTCTCAATCTCCTGGTGGGCAGCCGACAGATTGTGCTGCAATGCATGGATTTCATTCATTGCCTGCTGGTGGGCCATGTGAGAGTGGCTTACTGCATTCTGATGTGCTTGTCGCGTTTCTGCCAATTCTCTTTCAAGGCTTGAAATTGTGCCGCTTAGCTTCGACTCAATCTGCATATCATAACATTATCAACACATACAATACCAATCTTTCTTAATTCCTTTGGAAGTATAGATAAAGTTACTGAATTATATATATCTTGACATGTAACAAAGTAATTAATTAAAGAGACAATATTACTTGTTAATTACTAAGAGCATAATTAGGCTATATATATATATACCGGCCCCTTTTAATTAAGAAATCGAAAAAGGAAAACATAATAATAATAATTTTTATTATTATATATAATAATATTCTTTATATATAATATTTTTATTTTTTATGAGTAAGACTATACAATTACAGTCCCTTTGATGAATAAGACTATATATATAGAGAGAGAGAGAGAGAGATGAGTACACATTAAAGTTCTAATTGTTAGCCCGGCTGACCACCCTCTAGGACCAAAGAAATTGAAATTATAGTTGTCACTAGGTACATCAAAGGTCTAAATTAAGCCAGCCTTGTGACAATAGTTACGTACGTTGTTAGTTGCACCATACATCTACTCCATCTCTGATGCCCAATAAGTTACATGGAGAGTGGAGAAAGTCAAAATTACAATGAACCCCTTAGCTTTAGGTGTAATTTCCTCATCAAAGCCACCTATGTGATCAATGTGCAAAAGACCGTTTGTTGTTTCTGGTGCAACTATAAGCTCAAGTGTGTCTCGTGTTCCATAAAGTAGAACTCTATTGCATTGAATTGTAGTCTGAGGCAAAAGAACATTGAATTTGTTCTAATGGTGGCAAGGGCATTTTTTTATCCATATGCCTCATTGGGGTTAAGGTCTACACTATAGTCATTCATCAATGGTGGTAATTGTGAGAATGTAGTCTTAGTTAGACATTGTGATTGCCTACCTTAATGCATTCCCTCCCAACTCTCTTCATTAGATGAAGAAGGGCACTAAAGTAAAAGTGTCCAAGTACTATTTGATATAGTTCACCATGGGTAAGTCATATTAAGGCAAAATATGTTATGATGTGGTATAGATGGATGCTGGGAAGACTATGGCAATATGATTGCAATGTCATGCACCATGGACGAACCAACACCTATAGCTCTAGTAGAAGACTTCTAGGAGGATCACATTGACATTGTTATTACAAACGGAGAGTTCAAGAGTAAAGTGTGATGAGGGGGTGTCATGTTGGCCCTCATCATGAACCCCATTGAAGAGTAGGTACCACTACCAGTCATGGCGCAACTCCAACCCCTCATCATAGAATACGCATATATAGTCGTTTCCTATTAAGCTAGTGGAAGCTAGGACTTTCTCCGTACATGATATCTAGCATTAAATTGATCTCATCTCCAATGCATCTCTCCTAAACCGGCCCAACTATCAACTGAGTTCCATGGAGCATGATGAATTATAGTGCCAAGTCCACAAACTATTGAAGAGGATCACATTTAACCACTCTTAGTCCTTATTTTGTACCAGCCTTATTCGTTCCCAAGAAAGATTGTTCTTAATTGGCAAATATGTGTAGATAATTGTGCCATTATTAAAACCAAAGTAAATGTCATGGTTTTCAAATGGATGTGAAAATAACTTTTTTAAATGGGGAATTAGAGGAAGAAATTTACATTAAGCAACCTGAAGGCTTCATAATGTCAGGACAAGAAAATAAAGTATGTAAATTAATTAAGTCTCTGTATGACTTAGAACAAGCTCCCAAACAATGGCATGAAAATTTTGATAATGTGTTACTAACTAATGGATATAGCAGAACTGATTCTGATAGATGTGTCTACGGTAAATTTGAAAATAATATAGGAGTCATGATCTGTCTCTACGTTGATGATATGCTAATAATGGGAACTATATTGGATATAGTAAAAGAAACAAAACAATTTCTAATGTCTAAATTTGATACTAAGGACTTGGGTGAGGCTGATGTAATTTTGGGGATTAAAATCCATAAAGAACAAGAAAACTTTATTCTCTCTCAATCACATTATGTAGAGAGTATTCTTTGGAAATTTGGACACTATTATTATAAACCGGTTAAAACACCTCTTGACTGTAATATTCACTTAAAGAAACATATAGGAGAACTTGTTTCACAAAAGGAGTATGCAAGTATAATTGGATCAGTATCCTGCTTAATGAACTATACAATACCAGACATATCTATAACTGTGGGAAAATTAAGTCAGCATACTCATAATCCTAGAAATGAATATTGGGAAACTTTAGTAAGATTATTAAAATATTTAAAATGAACCATAAACTTTGATTTACATTATTCAGGTTTTCCTCCTGTTTTATAAGGCTTTACTGATCCGAATTGGATTTCAAATTCAAATGATAGTATTTCCACCAATGGATATGTGTTTACTCTAGGTGGAGGAGTAGCTAAGGCAGAGTGGCTAAGGAACTTGCTGGTAGATATACCATTTTGGCCGCAGCTGGTTCCGTCAATATCTCTCCATTGTGATAGCCAAACAGTAATAGCCAGAGCCAAGAACCAGGCGTACAACAGTAAAAGAAGGCACATTCGCTTAAGGCATAACCTGATAAGACAATACCTCAACGGATATACGATCGCTCTGGATTTTGTAAGGTCCGAAAAGAACCTTGTAGATTCGTTAACCAAACCACAAACTTCCAAKGTGGTTTATGAGGCATTGGTAGGAATGGGGCTGAAGCCCATTACAAAGTCATTAGAGATAGACACCCAACCTATGTGAAAGGAGATCCCTGGAATTAGGTTGAATGGGTAAAAATGAGTCGCTAGATGACTTGGGAAAGCACTATCATTTGTGTCCCATTTCAGATGCTGAGGTAAGATAGTGTTCACTACAGATTGAGGAGGTTGAGCAAGAGGCTCCTAATTAGTTAGGAATAGTGTGAGCAGTGCACACTAATAACCGACCTAAGTGAGTGTGAAGTGTGGCCGCTTCTAAGAGAGATCTAGGGCTAACTCTTGAAAACACTCATGATTCCAAGAGGGTAACAAGGCCGAAATGTTCCAAAACAAAAGAACCACTAAAGATCTAGTGAGTTGAGTTGGTTGGCCGGTTAGCTAGTTACGATAAGGAGGAAAGGTTGAAGGAGTCTGACTTCACCCGTACTCTGTAACATAGCCTGCTATACCTAAGTGTTGATTGAAGTCCAAAAGACATCACCATGAATACTTTTCTCACTGTGATGCTCAGATTGTTTGATCTTCTTATAATTTTGAATCTTGGAGGGATTGTTGGAGRGAGATTCAAATTTACAAGAATCTCTCTCCTCCCTCTCTTGTTTTTTGTCATCTCCTCTCTCTCTTGAATGACTCATTGTCCCACATTGCTTGGAAAATGAGTGGGAGTGGAGTATATTTGTAGTTTTGCTCCCTCTATGGATAGAGACCCATAGGAGGAGAGGACAATAGATATTACATGCATGTAAGGGGGGTTGGGGGTGCTTTTCACATGCGCGTCGAGCCTAGCTGAGTCGGGTCGGGGCATGGACGCGGGCACGTGTGCAGGTGCGGGTGTGGGCACGTGTACGTGTACGCGTGATGCACTGAATCATTTTGTTTTATTCGAATTACACCTTTTCAATTTTAAAATGTGTCTCCTCAAATTCAAATTTAATTTTAAATAAATTGTTTTCTTTTTCATGTCTCTTCTTCCTCCTTGTGCTGGTCGACCCAGTCTACACACACACACACACACCATTTTTCAACCTTCTTTTCTCTGAGAAATCTGAGCATCAATCTTCAGTGGTTCGCGGAAGTCTAGTAAGCAAGTGCATGCCTATTAGTGGTCTGTGGGCTGCACCGTAGGAGGCAAATACGGTTTTAAGGAGAATGACCAAGTGGTACAACTCAACCCTCCATCTTCCTGTAATTCCCAGTTTCAAGTTCCTACAACAATTTCAAATCACTACAACTTCGATTTAAAAAGCGATTACCGATAAATTCCATTTGCTCTCTATTTATTATTTTTACAACAACTATCAATCCCCTTGACTTGAGGACCTCAGACGTGTTTAATGAAAAGCACTTGTATCCTGATCATGAGCAGAGTAGCCATCTTAAAGTATCCAACTTGAGGTCTAGCTCTTCTCAACCTCGGGGAGGATAATGCAACTTGAGGTTCTCATTACTACGATGCAATTGATATGTTGAGTCAAAACTCATCCCATGAAGATGCAAAATCGTACTAATGTGCAATTGTAAAAACAATGCTTATGTTGTGATGAACACGACCTTCGATTCTCATCACATTGACTTCATGACACCAATACTTCTGCAAATGGCCATACTGTGGCTCATTGCACTCAATAAGCCCCAACTTATGAGTCATCACACCTACCTACTAACCATTGAAGTTCTTAAGTTGAATCCCCGTACCTGGTAGCAATTGAACTGACCAACTGGCAAATATCCTACCGAGCACCTCTTGTCATCCATATCACATGTTAGACACTACCAAGTGCTAGTTTCCCTTCTAAGCTTATATTTGTCTACTTATTTCAACCACTCTTTCGTTTATCTATTTGGGTATAACGTATTAGACACCAAAATTTGTAACTTTTTCGATCTTACAACATTATATAAGTTAGACCAAGCTTTGTAAGGGGCATTTTTTAACATTGAATACAACTTTGTGTCATTGCCTTGAAGGTGTTTTTGGTTATTTTTTCTATCTTATTAGTCTCATTCTAGAGTCAGAGAAAACTCTGATACCCTTATTGTCATCTAGGTGAGTAGAGATTAAGGTTGTTGTCCTTGACAAGCTACAAAGCCAAGAGGTTAGTGTTTCATTACTATTTTACTTCATCACTATTACAACCTTACCTGTTGCTATCATTTATCTCTTGCTAGACTTACTCTATAAGAGACTATCAACTACACCACATCAAAAGACTCAAGTTTAAAATCATTAAAAATAGTATAAAAATAATCAAGATTTGCGTTAGATTATTGGAAAAATAGGTGTGAAATGGACCAGTTTTGTGAAAGAAACCATTGACCAGTTTTACCTTACAAAATTGGGAATCTAGACCAATTTAAGTTATGAGATTTAATTTATAATACATGTTTGTCCTGAAAATTTGAACTTTTAGGCTTGGAAATTTGAGTTTCAGTTTGCACAAAATTTTGGAATACTTTCTTTGATAAAACGTTGGTGTAGAATTAGAACCTATCCAGATAAATACTAACACAAATGTAGAAGAAAACACTCTAATTGAAGCATGTGAAAGCACTATCCTTGAGAAAATTTCACCCCCACTAATAACAAAAGTTTGGGTGAGGTGGCTTTAGATGATCTGCTCTCCTAAGATTCAACAATCAATTATCTTTTTATTCTACATACACTCGAATAGAAGAAAGACTTCCTTTACAAAAGAACCATCTAACTCACCAAAAGACCAAAAGAAAAAACTAGTAGAAAACCCAATATATATATATATATATATATATATAAGAACACTTTGAAAAAGCAACCCAAAACCAATCACCATGTCTGAATACTTCTCTTACATCCCTAAACCCCTAAGGCGAACCCCCACTTATAAACTCACTCTCACTTGGTTTCCTATCCAATGTAGGACAAGTGCTTTTTAGAGCATTCAAAGTAGCTCTTAAAAGTTTTGTAGGGAACTAAAATCAAACGAGACAAATATTACTTCAAGGAAGGGTTGGTCTAAAAGTCAAAGGCACTAAAAAACCAACATACAATTCCCATCTTTACTTACTTACTAGGTAAGAATTTAAATAATCTATTAATTACGAGATGGCAGATATTGATCAATAAACAGAAAGTGGATTATGTGCATTGATCAGTAAACAAAAACTGATTAAGTAGTAGCTATACCGTTTCTGTTACTCGTGCGAGTTGGGCATCATATGCTTTTTGCATTTGCTCTTGTAATCTTGCTGTCTCCTTCTTGGCTAATGCTTGTAGCTCAGCTTCTTCCTTCATCTTGCGTTGTCTCTTAGTTTCTTCCTGTTATATAGCCTTTATAGTCATTATATAATTCTTTGTAGAACAAAGTTAAATAGCTCCCACAAGCAAAGAATCTTCACCTGTAAACTTAGAAAAAGTTCATTTGTATATGGCTTCCCACCATTCTCTGTAAAGATCTTGTCTACAAGGATAATAAGTTCATTAATCTGTGAAGCCCGCTTCTTTGCATTCTTAGTTTTGTTATTAAACAAAGCAGTCCGATGCTTACATAATTGGAGAACTTCCTGCATCAATATCACCAAAAAGTATTAAAAAAAAAATACAAGCATTTAAGCATATTAATTTTGAAGTTTTTTGTTTGCTTATAATATAATAATTGTTTGCTTCAACCAAATTAACAAAACTAAAAATATTAATTAATTGACATAAAACGTTCAAATAATTAATAGCCAATACTTAACTTTTATTTTTTGCAAAAGAAGAAATTCATCAATCAAAAAGGAATACTAGCTTGGGGACCCCAAAAGGAGTCTGCATCTGATGGGCCAGAAGTAATTAAGCACACAGTGGGATAGATGTCTCACACTGATTTGTGTGTTGAATTTATATTGTGCTTGCTAAGTGTGCCTAATAAGATCTAGACCAAGAAGGAGGTAAGTGTTCCATCCATTTCCTTCTATATATATAATGAAATAATAACTTATTTTGCTAAACTATGAGCCAAAAATGTTCTTCAATCCATTAAACGAAATGTCTGTAAATTAATGGAATTTTCTAAGCTTTGCTACTACCATTCTTTTCTCCTGATCAATTTTAACATCATCATCATCATCATATTTCCTTTGCTTTGATGGTTTAGTTTACTTTCCTAACCAAAATCATAATATTTATACAATCACTTAGAACCAGTGCCTTCTCATATCCTTTTGTCATTAATTGACATGTTTATGATTACTACTACCTCCCCCATCGCCGGAACAGCCCCGTTAGGAGCAAAATTCCACACCGTTAGATCCAATTTCAGAGCATCCTGAGGGGGAACCATGCAAACCAAGACGTAATCCTCTCGATCACCCACGAGCCACGAACGAGACGACGGGACTAGCTGATGAAGCTTTGCCATCTCCTGAGAACCAAACCCCTGTTTTCAAGAAGCGCCTGCAGACCCCCACAGGACTAAAGCTTCCCCTTACCTCTTTCCAAAGCTTTTGAAACAACACCCATAGGCCATAGCCGAAGACGGAATCGGACGTTCCCCTACAACCGAAATCTCTTTCTCCAGTGTCGGGTTTCCTGCAATATTGCGCATTATTGTCTCCACCCCATCAAAGAAAGAAGCGGGAGCAACAACTGCCACCCTTACCACGAATACTTCCCCGGTTGGCTACCTCCACCGACCACCGAGACCGATTTTGGGACGTCTCTGGTAGCAGGAGCCCATACCACCAATTCCAGAGATTCAATATCCTTCCAAGTTCCAAGATAAAATTTTCTTCTCTACATCTACGAATTCTCCAACAAAATCTCCAATCTCTCTAACACCTGGCGTGCAAAGGTAAACTGAAACACATCACCTTCCATTGCCTCCCTCCTTTTACTATGACGCCTCTCTCCAGACCCGAGTTCCACTGAAGCAAACGTAGCCCCTTTGACCATTAAAACAAACTGGGCCTCTCTCCAACAATTTTTGCACCTCTAACTCTGAAGAATATCAACTATCCATATTTTCCCACCAAGACCATGCCTTCAAGATGCATGAATTCAGTTTCTCAAACAGATAAGGATCACACAGTGTTGTATGAACTACAAGACTCTCTTTTCATGATCCCTACTTAACTGATCTCTATCTTCCAATTCCACACTTGGAAAAACCTCTTTCTATCTTCCAAAGACCACTTGCTTTATGATGTGAAATATTTTATTTTTGTTTTTTTATTTCATTTAAAAATTAAAAGTAAGATAAAATTTATAATCTTATGAAAAAAATACAATTATATCCAAACATATTCAACCATATTTTTAAAAAATATTAATATATACACATACTTACATACACACATACATATATATATATATATATAAGTGGAGATCTCCACAAAGATGGAATTGGGGGTCCTGTGGGGTGGGGAGTGCTCGATGTGGATGAAAATTTCCCACCCCTGTCCCCATAAAAGAAAAGTAGATTTCCAAAGAAAAAAAAATTGGTGAAAATTACCGTCCCTACACTTTACATAACTTCTGATTAATTATAGACAACTAAATATAGAATGCAACATTATTGCATAAGGTCTAACATATTGGTAATGGAGTGCATGAAACATGTTTCATACTTTTATAGGATCTACAGTATTTTAGTGTTCTTATAAAAAATTAAAAATATCGAACTCCATAGTAGAAGTGTTTGTTTCAAGAAATATTCAATATTTACTTATCCAATTTTATTAGTGTTTTACTCTGGAGATTGGATGATATGGTGCAGGATTGCTAATCCCATAAAAATAATAGTCCATAGAAGTTGAGAATGAAGTTTAAATCCAAAATAATTACCTTTGTTACTTTGTGGTTTCCAAATAGAGAAAATTACTAATTAGTACCATGTTCTTTGGGCCTAGTGCCACTTTGGTCCCTGAACTTTAAAATGCAATAATTCAGTACCTAAATTTTCAAAATGTGTCAATTCAGTATCTACTGCTAATTATCTGTTAACCAGCCGTTAAGTGGCATTTGGAAAAGGTACAAATGCCCTTCGAGTGCCATTTAATTTTCTTTATCAACCATTCAAACATTGAAAAAAAAAAAATAACAGTCCTAAATCCTTGCCTCTTTTACTCGAGAAAGTTGGGGTCTAAAATGCCCATTGAGACGTGACACCAACTTTCTTAAATAGAAGAAGTAAGGAGTTGAGATTGTTAATTTTTTGTTAACGTTTGGATGATTGATAAAGAATATTAAATGACACTCGAAGGGCATTTGTGTGTTTTTAAATGCCACTTAACGGCTGATTAACGGTAGGCACTGAATTAATATGTTTTGAAAGTTTGAGTACTGAATTGTCAAATTTTAAATTTCAAGAACCAAAATGGCATTAGGCCCAAAATAGAGGGTACTAATCGCAAATTTTCCCTTACAAATATGACAAAAAAAATCATTCATATATATTGTTAATGATAAATTACACAAAGCCAAATGCTATGACAAAAAATATAAAATAAAATAAAATAGATCCTGAGGGGGCATTAATTAAGCTAACCTGTAAAGGTTGAGGGCAATTTGCATCCAAATAATCTTGTAAAGTAGCTTCGTCATCTTCAAGAACATCAGCACCAGTAAAAACAATGATCAAATAATCAGTAATTTTAGGTCCAAAAAGACCCCTCAGGACCTGAATTGCTTCTGCTTCTTCTTCAGTAAAACGGCTCCTAACTGATAGCACCAATAAAATTGCATGGATCCCATCTTTTGCTAAATTGATACAGTTAGCAATCTTTTTGCTTACATTATCCGATCCAACTGCAAAATCAAATAATCCTGCAAAAGCTTATAAGTTAGGATGTCTGTTTTCCAGCTCCACAAGTATGTCTAAAATAAAGTAAATGGAAAACTAAAAAAATATCATAAATTATATAGTAGTTAATTATTAGGGACACTTAGACCGATACAACTCTACAAGATCTTAGCTAGTGTGACAAGACCATTGAGACAATATCTGGTCCATTAATAAAAGATAAGAATATAGGTGTTAATGGACCAAGTTTGGATTAAAAACCAATCCAAGTTAAAATAAATTTGAACAGATTGAATGGTCCAGACATTGAACTGGATCGGTCCAAAATATTCAGTGGACTGGATTGGACCTAGTCCATTTGTAATGGACTTACATTGGACTGGATTGGATTTCACAAAATCCCATCCAATTGACACCCTTATTGGAAAAGTTCAGTGAGCACTTAATAAAAAAATCTACAACTGTCAAAAGTTGTCTTTGTTCTTTTTCAAGGATAGGGTTGGGCTAATTTAAGGAGCCGGGATTTTTTACTCACTTTTCCTATCCATTTTCTATACACCGTAAATTGCAGTCACACATCTCTCCATTCATAAATAGAGATGTGTGACTCCAATTCACGGCAGGTAAAGAGTGGATAAGAAAAGTGAGTAGGAAATCCCGAGTGTATTTTAAGGGATGTGTCTAAAAATTTTTAAAATGCTTAAAGGTGCTCGTGAAAAATCAAAAACCAATCGTCATAGGCCTTCAATTGTCATAGGCTCAATTATTTGTCCATTCTCGCCCATCGATCTCTACCCAAACCTTATTTCTCATCCATCCCTCTCTCAACATTTCATTCATTGTCTTCCATTTGAAATGTGGGAAAACCATTCTCCTCTAACCTGTCTAAACCGTGGCATGTCATGCCTCTCAGTGGGAGACAGAATTCCACGCAAGAAAAAACTCACATCGGCGACAAGATTTCCTACAAACGAAAACTCTCCATACATCATTACCTCACTTTGATGTCTATCTACCATATACACCACCTATATCTCTCTCTTAGAGATAAGGAAGCTTCTTTTCTTCGTCAGTGTATTGCTTATTTTAATTTCTTGCTCGTCTGTTCACATCAATGCCAATCTATCACTGTGTTGTAGATGTGTATGTGTTATTTTCTCTTTTTCTTTCTCGTTTTTCTATTAAACCAATGAACACTTTTTGAAAGCAGCCAGTGGATTTTAGGATTTCTAGAAAAACACTTGATTATATAGTATATAAAAAAAAATGAAATTTGAGGTTCGTCAAAAACCCAATTGATTAATTTGGTTTTAGTTTTGGTTTCAGAAGCTGAGAACCGGTACGGTTTCAAAACATTGCTCATAATTCGATTAACCAAACCTTGAGCCCCCCTACATACACTCAACCTCATCTATTTTATTATAATATATAAGAACCTCCACCTATTATTCTTTAATAAATAAATAAATAAGAGCCTCCCATTTACAATGAGAGAACCGAGGAATTGTGATTAAATACACCATGTGTGAATGACTGCCATTGCTATTCTAACTAATGTGGTTCTATTGTATATTGATGATCTTCATTCCTATCTTATTACTTGGTCATGAATTCTGGCTGGAACAACATGCTTAGCCAACTACTAATACATTACCCCCGGCCCATAGCAAATCTTGGTAATAGCAATAATACCAACCATAATCCTTCTAATGTTGTTTATCACCTCAATCCAGCCATCAGACTATGGGTGGTAGCTGGTGGACTTAATTAGTTGCACCCCTTGTAACTGGAAGAGTTCCGTCCAAAAAAGACTCATGAAGACGAGATCCTTGTTAGAAACAATGGATTGTGGGAAACCGTACTACCTCCCTAACGAAGAGGCCAACAATTGTAGACGTCCAACGGCGTTAACACTATTGGAGAGTAACACCTGAGTGGCCTCCCAAAGAGGATCGATGCATGGGAATAGATCGACCTGGCAATTGGGTTGGGTGGGTTGGGTTCGGGTTGGATTAAGATACTTCTGGTTGATTTTGGGTTGTGTTAAATTTCAGGTTGAGTTGTCAAATGCTAGACCCTAACCCTAAATGTTTGGGTCTGGATTGACACATGGGTTAATTCAGGTCATCCCAAAAAACAATTGAAATTTAAAAAAATAAAAAAAATATATATGAAAAATGTCAAAATTAAATGAATTAACCTTAAAATTCTAAATATAAATTAAAAAACTTGAATATTTAACAATTCAAAAGAGTAAAGATTAAATAGTAAAAATTAAAGAGTGGAAACTTCTAACAATGTATAAATAGTCTGAATTAGACCTAACAATTGAGTCACTGAGTTAACCCATGACCCAACCCAGTTTTTTGGGACAGGCCAGGTCATTCTCAAATTTAGATAACTAAATATGAGACCCTAACCCTGTTTTTTTTGGATTGGATTGGGTCAAATTTTTGTCAGGTCTAATAATAGTTTAATAGTAGCTCAGTCCTTGTAGTAGAGGTTAGATTAGAGTCCTTAATAGAGTACCCAAGACTAGAGTCAGGCCATCGTTACAGCTAATCCTTATTGGGATGGTAGAACACATATAACTAATGTAACCTAGGTTGTCTAGATAAGGCATCTGCTTTGCGATTGGCTGCCCGAGATCTTGTTAAAATCAAGCAAAGGTGCAGGAGGATATATAGGTGGGGAGTTCACTAGTGATTTGAGGCTTTCAAATGCCTCCTATGCTTTGCTGGTCTAAAGGGAACACATCCTTTTTTGAGTAGGGATGTCAATGGGGCTGGTAGAAGACTGTATCCCTTATGCTGTGTTTGGTTTGAAGGAAAAGATAGGGAAAGGAAAAAAAAAAAGTAGGAAAGCCTATACAAGCATAGCCTTAATGAAACAATGGTATAGGTTTGTATTAATTTCGCTACCTTATGCTGTGTTAGGTTTCTATAGGTTTTTCTAACTTTCTCTTCCTTTCCCTACCTTTTCCTTTAAACCAAATATAGCCTTAATGAAGCGACGATATAGCAACCTCTTGATGGAATAAGCCCTGATGTTATTGAGGGCTTTCTCATACTTTGTCTTTTTTTTTTCAATTTCTTTCTTCGAGAATAAGGATAGTGGTATGGTCTTATGTTTGTTGGGACATCTCTTGAAAATAGTGGGATCTGATGATCATGCTCCCGTCAAGGTGGAAAGTTTTGTTTGCCCCTGAAAATGGGAGGAGCTCTTTCAGTTGTTTACTATTAGTGCACCTGATCCACTAAGTTATGGGTCGTGGTCAGAACTCAGAACTGGGTGCGTACGGCTTATTTCCTAGATGATGGGTTGACTTGGACCTTGGACCCTAGGTTTGATTGAGCAAAGATACCAGGCTCGTTGGGCTTGGAGCCTTAGTGGCTTAACCTTATAAATGCACTTTGAATAGTGAATACCATTCAACTAAAATCCATGGTTAGATGGGCACAGTCCTAGAGCACTAGCCCAAGTTGCCTTTTGCCTAGAACAACTGGGCTCGATTAGATAGAGGTTGACCATGAATGGATGGGCTTGAATACGCACTACTACGGTACTACCCTTGTTTGGAATCCCATTGCATTGCATCAAAGTACCATTTGCCATGTGGATCTTGAATGTTGTTGTGGGTTGGACAGGTTGCCCTAATTATTTGACGAACACACCTGCCACAAAATTCAGAGTACTGCCACTGTCGATAAAGGATAGACACGTGGCAGCCCTTTACATTCCCTGGTACCCGCAAGGTTTGAGGGGATGATAAGCCTGCATGAGCCCATAGTGAAATTTTGGGCTCTTCTTGTTGCATCTTAGGCCATTCTTGACCTAGCATAGGCCCTCCATGGCGCCAATAGTGCTCACCCAAGTCTTAACCATTCCCATCGATTTGCAGGATGAAGACCTGTTGTGATTTGCATCAGTGGTTCAATGGCTATGTCCGAACTTCTCAAAAGTCCTTTGTCTATGTAGGCCTGAATTTCGGCCCAAGACAATTTCTTAAAGGGTATAATGGAGCTAGATCCCATATCACTCGGTTTCTCCAGTAGAGTATCTTGCTTATTGGGCCCTAGCCCATCAACATTTGAAAAGGGTATAATAGAGTACCCAAGACAAGGGCCTGGTCTCCCTACAATCCCCTATCCTAACACTATATTTCTGGTATCATTTCACTCAAGGGGCTGATTGGATATTTGCATATAGAGGTGCCTAATACTCAAGAAATTATCTTTCAGGATATGGAAAAAAAAATGATAAAACCATTATAAACTAATATCCAATTTGTACCAGAATTCTTATATGTAATAGTTGTATAGTCATTAAATATTACCAATTGATGAATATAAAAATCAATTCAGGTGGATAATCAATACACAAACCGAAGATACCAACTTGTGTACTTGACCATTTCAAGTTTCTACATATCTCCCTCATGGATTTAATTTAAGATTAATAAATCATATGGTGATCACCATTCATCATCCCTCCACTGGGAGGAAATTTTGAGATCTATGGCAGAAAGTTCACTATATTTGTTACTCTCACATTGTATATAAAACAGAGAAAAGCTCAGTCGAAGTAATTAAGCATGGATTCAGATTCAAATATTCAAAAGCTATCTGTTACTCTCAGCTAATGTACTAAACATTGCACCTTGTGTACGCATGCAGAAATTATAGGTCGAGGATACATGGTCATAGGGTGTAACTTTTAAAGCTATATTAATTGTGCAATATTTACAGCCTATCAAGGTTTTTGAACCGCCGTTGATCCAGATGATTGTGATGGGCCATCATCCATTTGGACCAGACAGTCGAACTGCTAACCAAACCGGTGGCCAAAGGTTTTTAAAACATTGCAGCCTACAGTATTCACTGTGTTAGTATAATGAAACATGTTTTGGAACTGTAGAATTAATCAAAAAATGAAAAACTTGAGCAATTAATCAAGAGACACAACTTTATGATCTTACCAGGAGTGTCAAGGACATTAACACCTCGACCATCTCCCAGAACACCCTGCTGAAGTTCAGCTTTTTTTGTAATTGAACCAGAAGCAACTTTTGATTTGAAGGCATTCCTCTGAAGAATGCTATTTCCTGTTGCACTTTTGCCATTGCCAGTACGTCCAACTAAAGCTAGGGTAACCTCATTGGGTTTGGACAAAGCCATCACACAAGGAGCAAAATTATCTGCATAACAATCGAAAGGAACTCATCAATATGCACTTCTTTATGAAGATTGCTAGCTAGAATTATGGAAGTCTAAAACTCATGCCAAACCCAGTTAGCATTCCTCCTTTTCTACTGTTCAGAGAGCCTAATTAACCAGTAATACAATGTTTGTTCCAAGGTATTCAGATGCAAAACAATGGAGAAAACAATCAAAAATGAGAAGAAAATATACCAAACTTTAGTAATATTAGTAAAAAGGAATAAATGATGACTACCATTTCAATAAATAAGCGAAAAGAAGCAAGCCTGCTGATTGTTTAAAGAATGAAATCTAGGTAATATCTATTTCATTGTAAAATGGGTGGAAAACTTGTGTTTTTTCGCCATAAAATTGACTGAAATATGACTGGAAATTACAGACGGAAATACGTTTTATCCATTTTAGGTTGAATCAAATGGAGATTTAACATAGAATCCCACGGACTCGAATACTACTTACCGGAGAAACGAGATCTTTGTTTTGTCTTCCGGATTTTAAGCCTGCTGGAAGAGGAGTCTGCTTGAAAATGCACATAGAAGTGGTCTAAATTTATGGGGGCCGGACGAAAGCTGGAGATTGATTGGTATTGTCAAAGCTGACTAATTTATTCGGACACCAACTTTGATTGGCACTAAGCCAAAACACAGCGAGGACTGAGGAGTCTCATTGTGGGAACGCATACACGGCTTTCCAAGTTCTTGAAATTTATTCCATTTATCCTGTCGGTTCAAGTGTTCTTATATTATTTCAAAGGAATTGGGTCCTTTCTTCCCAAAAGAATCGGTTTTTGTTCTACCTCGTCCAAAGGAATTGGATACTCTCCATCGTATTCAGGCAAACTTAAGAAAAGCATATGAAGACCATTACGCAATGTTGGGTCGTTAACCTTCTAAAAAGGAGTTCAAATTAGCCTCCCACAAGAGGGCGCCCCACAATATCCCACAGCACATCCCATCAGTGTATTGGGAACATCTCCCGATGATAATACCAGAAGTGATGAGATATTATCGGGAGTTGTTCTCAATACACACCGCTGGGATGTGCTGTGCGTCAATGTTATGGGGCGCCCCCTTGTGGAGGGCTGATTTGAACTCTCTAAGAAGTTCTACACCCGTATGGCGTTTGATAATACTTTTCAGACTATAAAGTCTGAAAACTTTACTTTTCATATGTCAATGAAGTTTGGGTTTAGGTCTGATTAAAGGATCTGAATTGGTAAGACTTGGTTTCATGTCTTACAAAATTAGACACATTTCAGACAAAATAAATGACAATAATGCTCTCATTATTGTCATCTATTTAACAACAACAATAATAATAATTAATATTATTACTATTTATTTAAATAATAATAATAATCAATATTGTTATAAATATTTATTATTATTTAACAAATATTATTTCTCTATTTAAATAAATAATAATATTAGTAATAATATTTATTTAATAATAATACTAATAATAAATATATTATTATTAAATAATTATTATTATAAAATTATAAATAATATCAATATTTAGTATTAATATTTATATAGTAATAAGAATATTTCATACCATATTTATTATTAATAATTAAAATATTTTTACTTAATATCAGTTAATAATAATAAATAAATACTATTTTAATTAAATAATAAATAATTATTTATTTCAAAAATATAATATTAGTTTACTAATAGAATATTATTTTTATTCTTTATAATATGCTCAAATAGTAAACATCACTATTTCAGATGTTAGAGAATTGTTCCAACTCAAATCATTTCTACTTCTTTTCATATTTTATCCCCGAATAATATCTTTTCAACTTTTCAGATTTATCAAACACTACCAAAGAGTCCATTTGGTTCACACGAATAGAGGATTGGATGGAATTGGAATCAGAATGAGTCCAACTGTTTGGTTGGGCAGAATCGGAATCCAATTCCCTTTTCTGGTGGAATTGTATTCCCCCATTTGAGGAAATGGTTATTCCCTCCCCCTCCCTTGGGAATGAACTCCCATTCCAACTGATCCTAATTTTCATTTATATTCCTGTATGGACCAAACAGACTATGAGAATAGACTATTTCAATTCCTATTCCAAAGAATTTTGATTCCAATTCCAACTGCAAACCAAATGACCGGACCCTAAGCTCTTATCCTCCCGGCATGCTTTATAGGCCTTACAGTGAGTTATATCATTTACATGCAATATATGACAATTTACAAACATGGATGTTAGCTCCAGCACTTGGTCCCTATATAGTTTCTCCTTCTATGATCAGGGAGCAAGTGAAACAGAACTCCACAATCCTTTTAGCACCACATAGAACTTACAGTTGAGGATCACATAGAACTTGTAGTTGTACACGAAACAGAACTCCATTCTACTTTAGAGGGAGTTTGAGTTGTTAGTCCGGATGCCTCTGCTGCTATCACCCTTCCATGTGGATTCAGTAGATCATGCGTAGTTCAATTGTTAGACAGATGGCTTTCTTTTGTTCCTCGCATTCTTTTGGAGCAACATTTGTTTTGATTAATTGATTTGGGTCCTGACTGATGTTATTGTGAATTCTTTTGTTCCTCGCATCCCATATCAGACAGATGGCAATGAAAATCAGTTGCAAGAGATCGATTTTAGTCTCTTTTTGAAGGTTAGGTTCCAAAGCTTATTGCCAATCCAGAACACAATGTGTGCCATCCTAGAATAATCCAATTGGTGCTGATTGAAATTAATATTCAAAGCAAACCAAACAGCTGAAGCACAAGTGCATGTAATTAAAAAACAAACGGTGGGTAGTTTTCAACTCCATCCCACATAGGTTGCATATTTTTTTCTTTTTATCTTTCATAAATTGTAATCGGTCTTTAGTTGGAACTCCTCCCCAAAACAACTTCCATATAAACAATTGATTCAAAGGGAATCTTGATTCTCCAATTACTGTTTCAAGGAATAGTAGAAGAAGAGGAAAAAGGTTGTTTTAAGAATTTCTGATATGCAGACTGCACTGTGTATAGCAGTGAGAATTGGAGTGCTTCGATTGCAATAGATCTTGCTAAAGTTGTGGAAAAACATGTATTTGAAGAATATAATCCGGCATCTGTTCCTCAAAAGATTTGCTTTATCAATTCCACATCCAATAAACCATTAGGCAATAACAAGTTTTTCACTTTCAAAGTTTCAACTGACCTAAGATGCTTATGCTTGACAAGTGGAAAACCAAAAGACAATGTGGGAATTCACGGATCGTAAAGAATATTAATGCAACAACCGTTTTTGACTTGTGATGTTGTTCAATCCGAGGTAGTGCATGAATCGAGGAAGGCAATCAGATACTCCTTGCTAATAGGTCGGGGCCGAGCTCCAAGGATGAGGCCGCGCTTCGAGATCTGTGATTAAGAAAAGAGTTAGAGGTCCAAGGAATTATCCTCGAGTAAGTACTCCGATGCTCAAGTCAATAGGAGGTGGTGGATGGCCGGTCCAAGCTATAGGGATGCTGGTCCAGGCTAATTAGTAGTGTGGGTGTTCGATGTCCAAAAGTCCCTTACCTCAAGCATGGAGTACCTTTCTATAGTCAGAGGGTCCGTATCTTGATCGGATTGGGCTTCTGGGGTTGTCGAGATGAGGTTAGCCACAGAAGTATTCAGGATAGAGTCCCATTCCCCAGCGGAGTCGTCTTCCTTCTTCCTCTTTGCCCGTAGTTGTGCTCATCTACGTGACGTGTGGTTGACGTGACTGAAAGGAAAAGATGGGGGGCCACCACACTAGCATAGCTTGGCTGGGCTACGCCAACGTGGCCGAGATAGGCCGACGTGATGGGGGCGTCAACATAATAGCGTAGCTCGGCCGAGGTATAACAATGTGGCCGAGCTAGATTGGCGTGGCTAGGCGATAACTGGGCAGCCACGTGTGATAACTGGGCGGTCACGTGTCCCGTAGGGCCAACTCAGCTATGACCCGAATACCACTCCCCTAGTTCTAAAGTCAAGAAATGAAGTAGTCCAATTCGTTCTTCGGCCGAAGAACTTCAAGCTGATGTCTGGATGGGTGTCTGACCTCTTTGGGGTTCCTTGGCACCTATTGCAATCTTGAGAACCGGGTAGTATGGAACATGGCCGAGGAATTGAATATGATATAAGCCGGCGGTTCAAACCGCTGCCTTAGGTAACTAACCATTTTTGGCAAAACCTAAGCCGGCGGTTCAGACCGCTGCCTTAAGTAGCTGGCCAATTTGGGAAAAACCTAAGTCGGCGGTATACTTTTATTTGTACCAGCGGTTTCCATTGCTGGTTTTTAAAAAAGATTTTTTTTATTTACTTTTTCCCAATGGTGTATAATTGCTGGTATAGGGAGGGATAAGCCGGCAATTTTGAGAAACCGTCGGCAATGCTTCAATTCAATGGCCTAAGTTAGTGCCACCTATGCCGACGGTTTTATGTAAATATCGCGGCAGTCTATATTTTTGCCAACGGTGACTAAACCGGCAAAGAAAGACCGTTGGCGATCATGAAATTTGTGCCGACGAATCTAGACCACCGGCTAAAACCTGTTTTTTGTAGTGTATATATTATAAATATATATTTATAATATATAATATATTATTTATAATTTAAAATATAATATTTTATTTTTATTATATATAATATTGTGAAAATCGAGATATCGATGAATCAAACAGATGGTTAACTAAACCGATCAACTAGTTAACTAATCGGCTTCGGTTCAGTTTCAATTATTGGTTTTCTAAAAACTACTAGTTCGATTCAGATAAAAGGCCCATTGTTTGGTTAACCAAACCGTGAGCACTCCTATAGCTATCTTTAGCACTTGTTTCCACCAAGCAAAGTGATGTGGTTTTGGTTTTTGCTTGAAAATAGATCTTAATTTGAGGTATTTTGTTCCAATAAAAGTAGAACAGAGAATTTGGTTCATTTAGAAATCTCCAAACCTGTTTTCCAAAGAGAACTAGATTCATTTCCCATAACCTCCTAATACTAGTATAAAAAGTGGGAATAAACCTAAGTAATTCTGGATTTTTCATTGACTAAAATGTCCTATTTTTTAATTTGGGCCCCTCTCAATTGTGAGGATAGAAAATGTAAATTAACCACCACTTTTAATTTCAATTTATCCGAAGTACTTTCAGCATTTTTGTTTCTCAACATTAAATTCCATAATTAATTCTATACTACATAATATTAATGGTATATAAAACAATGTTTTCAAAATTGGTTTGAAAATTAAACTGTTCTACAGTCTAGTTGGCAAGTCATTGGTTTAATTAGTTGTCTAGGTCATTTAGGTCAATTCATGATAGCATAATTAAATAATAAAAGTCAAAATAGTTAAGAATGTAAAAGATACAAAAATTAAAAAAAATTAAAAAACAAATACAAGAATTAAATAGAAACTTTAAGCACATGCACATCTCTAATATTATATTTCTATCATATTAAACAAAAACAAGTATGATATTATTTTTAGGGTGAATTATATATAGACCACACTGTATGATAATATGAATTAGAAAACATAGACCAAGGATCAGTTGGTCTATAGACAGTAGTGTTAAGGAAGACAGAAACCAGGGGCAATGGAAAAGAGAAAAGAGAGGAGCTTTCTAGAAGTACTCATACCTGGTCATCGCCACCTCAATTTATTTCTTCTGATTTAGAAGCTGATTGTAATACTCTTTGAGCAGCTTTAACC